ATGTCTGATCCCCCACAGATTACTAGTCAGTGTGTAGAAAGCGTGCTCTACTCTCAGACGAGCTGCAACCAGACCTTTCAGGCTCCGCACCACATCCGTCCAGCCCTGACCCAACATCTGACTCTTCCTGGTCTTCCAAATTGCTAGCTTAGCTGTCCCAAATAAATTGATTAGAACCAAAGTCAGTTTTTTTCTTATTGTATATTTTGGTCCAAAGACAAACAGAGGCACAGAGAAATCCTCTCCCAAAGCTTCCATCCATTCCTCCAGCACTCTAAAAAGACCAACTAGCCGAGGACAACCCACCACTAAGTGCTGAGTGCAGAATGGACAGACCTCCACGGTGCCTGGATCCAGGTGAGCTCTGTGTCTGTTCGTAGCTAAAGCTCCATGTCTCATCCTCCACTGAAGGTCCGCCATCCTTTTCTCAACAGGGGGTTTATACAGGACCCTCCACCCGCCTTTAGGGGTAACGTCTGAAGCAAACACCTCACACCATCTCGACTCCTTGACTCCAGCCAGAGTGTGAAGGTTAAGCACCTTCACACAGCTGAAGTACAGCTGCTTCTTCCCACAAGAGCTAAAAACACCCAGCACTGGTGTTTGCATGGTGAGAAGAAGTCCACTCTCCTCTCGCCACTCCTCAGCAGCAGGACAGACGCTCAGAGAGGGAAAAATGTACACACCGTCATCCTTCCATTGGCCAGCATGATTCTTAGCAAAGCCTCTCAGTGGCTCAGAAAGGGACTGCCAGACTTCCTCCACAATCCTTTTCAGCATTCTGGAGGACCTGATGTTTGTGATGCCACTGAGTGTTTCCATGGATGCTTTTGTGAGGTGGCCCAGTTTAGTAATGCCGGCCTCAAACAAATTTAGTCCTTAATGTAGTTGAGGAAAACGTTGCGTTTCTAAGGAAATTGAACAGCGGCTCCTCATAGATCCACATCCCTGGTCTAGGGTCAGGAGTTTGTGTGACCGTCAGTGGTCCCAGTTCTGCCTCTGAAATTCCTCACTCCCTAGAAAACTCGTAGGCTTTTTATACCCCTTTTTCCCCACCTAAGGTTCCCAGGAAGACCAGGAGTGCTCCCCACGCACCACTCCACCCCTAAACAAGCTTAATTTTTCCCCCAGTTCACCTTGGCAGAGGAAGCTTTTCCATACAAGGCCAGGCTTTCTTCTAACTCTTGAATGTCTCCCTGATTGCAAATAAATACATTTACATCATCAGCATATGCTGATACAACAACAGGGGGCGTCTGAGCCAGCTCTGGCAGACCCCTCAGCCTGCTCCTCAACCTGCAGAGGAGAAGCTCAATGGCAATGCTGTAAAGCTGGCCTGAGATGGAGCAGCCTTGCCTGATCCCTCTCCTAACTGGCACAGGAACACTCAACCTACCTCCCACCTTCACCACACAACATGCATCACGATACAGCAGCTTTGCCCAAGACAGAAAACCCTCCCCAACACCAAAAGCCTGTAAGGTAGAAAAAAGAAACTCATGATCCACACGGTCGAAAGCCTTCTCCTGGTCCATAGATATGATACCAACATTGATGTTATATACTTTGCAAATATCAAACACATCTCTCAACAAGAATAAATTATCAAACATGGACCTTTCTGGTACACGGTATGATTGATCGTCACCAATTAGAAAGTCAATAACAGTTTGAAGCATAAGACCTTGGAGAGAATCTTATAGTCCGTGCATAAAAGAGCTACTGGTCTCCAGTTCTTTAAAAAGGGCTAAATCTCCTTTCTTAGGCAGCAGAGAAAGAACTGCACGCCTACAGGATGCTGGAATTGTCTCTTTTTTTAAAACACCCTTTAAAAACGTCCAGAAGGTCCTGTCCCATGATGGTCCAGAAGCGTTTAAAAAAGTCTGATGATAAAACATCTATTCCTGGAGCCTTGCCAGACGCCATCTGAGACACAGCAGCAGTCAGTTCATCAAGAGTTATATCCAAACCCAGAGCCTCCTGATCTCCTGGACCCAGCTGAGGAAACCCCTGGTGAAGCTCCGCAGCAGAGTCCACATCACAGCTGTCTGCCCTGAACAAGTCTGTATAAAAGTCCACTGCATGCTTCCTCATCTCCGTTGGGTCTGTGGTCACCTTCCATCAGGGAGGCGGAGACACACCATCTGATTTTTGAAGCAACTGACTTCTCTAAGTTAAAGAAGAAAGTGGTTGGTGCATCTATGTCCTGTAGTCTGGTGAAGTGTGCTCGGACTAAGGCCCCTTTGGCTCTCTCCTGCAGGAAGGAGTTAAGCTCCTGTTTTTTAGATTGTAAACGATCATTATTTTGCTGATCTGTTCGTAAGGCATTTTCCAAGTCTCTTATCTCACCCTCTAACTCCTGCACAGCTCTCTTGACGTTTATAGCATCACTGGCTTTGTATTCCTGACAAAACACCCTAATTTGAGCTTTTCCTACCTCCCACAACTGAGTCAGAGAAAGAAAATCATCTTTCTGAGATCTCCAGTAAGCCCAAAACAATTTTAAATTTTCACAATAATTAAGACCATGTAATAATTTAACATTAAAACGCCAAAAGGATTTTGGTGAAAGAATCAGCTCCATTAAGACTAAATGATAGTCTGTAAAAAGTACTGGGATGATCTGACAGTTAACTCCAGCAGTAAAGGAAGCAGGTACATAAAACATGTCTAGTCTAGCTGCACTTACTCTACCATCTGATATTTTGATCCAAGTGTATTTCACCCTCCACACATCAACCAAATCAGTTTTTCTAAATACATGAGACAGGACAGGAGGACTGAATGTGGCTCCTCTCCAGTCCTATCTAAAGTAAAGTCAGTGCAGCAGTTCCAGTCACCACCCATTACAATAAACTCTCCTGTACCAATTTAGTCCTTCTTTTATTACTTGAAAAATCTCTTCCCGCTCAGAGCCTTGGTTTGGTGCATATACATTAATAAAAATGAAGCTGAAGCCCTCTACTTCAGCTCTCGCCATAAGGCATTTAACTTAGAGGAAAACAAAATGGCGACTCCTGCACTTAGATTTGTCCCATGGCTAAGGACCTGCTGCCCTCCCCACCAGAAGCCGCAATCTATTTCATTTGTGTTATCACTGTGTGTTTCTGTAAGAAAACTACATCTAATCTTTTCTGTGCGATTACTTCTGTTATTAAAGAAGTTTTAAGAGTTTTCCTTAGACCGGTGACGTGCTTCTTCAGACGATAACATTTCTTGCTCTCCAGTAAATCGAGCCCAACAACTCTCTGCAGTGTGGTGACTGACTGAATAAGTTTATCCACATCAGGAATATATTCTGTGTCATCCTCGGGCAGCGCCCGCTGTCCCCCTCCCCGCTGTCATCCTCGGGCAGCGCCCGCTGTCCCCCTCCCCGCTGTCATCCTCGTGTGTGTGGGGACACGCGATCCGCTTGTGACCCACATCTCCACACTCCAAACACTTCATGTTACTGGAGCTAGCATACACCATGTCCCTGTTCATGTTTAACACAGAATGAGACATCCAGAGTTTGAGTTGGAGAATCCAGAAACATGAACACTTGTCTCCGCAGAGACTGAACATGCTTCAGCTTGGCGTCCCTACAGCCCAGACTCACCGCCCGGAACCCGCTCGCAAATCTCCCGAAGCGCTTCAGTTCGGTCTGCTGCGCCTTGTTGGAAATAAACGGGGGGACTCCAGACACGGTGATCCGGACCGAAGGCACCGCAAGCTGGAAAAACCTGAACAGACTCGTCATCTAAGACCAGTCATGAGCTTACTGACAAACTCTAGATCCTTCAAAAAAACAACCACCGCTTTATTCATGCGTGAGGCACACGAGATGTTTCCTCCCCACCTGCTCTCCTACCGCCAGCAGCACCTGCTCCACCGTGGTGCTGGGCTGCGGCACCACCCTCACCTCTCCGAGGACGCCATCCCCGTCAAGAAACACGGCTTACTGCCCCCCAAAGCGCAGCAACGTAGAGTGACAACAACCACAAACAATTATCAAACAATCATACAGTAAACACTTAGGAAGGAAACAAAAGAAGTTTGAAATTACTCACAAACTCTCAGCCACACTCACCATGCTCTCCACCACCAAACTCCCAGCATGCACTCAGAGAGCTACATAATATACACACAGATGAAACAAAAAGTAAAATGATGCAAACTGCTGAGGGAGTACCTGAAGAGCGGTCTGGTGAACTTCATCCTGCCCTGCTCGGTCGCCATCTTCAGCGCCAGGGGAACCGCTTCCTCCCACCTGGACCGAACACACAACCTGAGCCACCTGGAGGGAGAACCGCCAATCATCAGGGAGCTTCCAGGTAGGAGGAGGGGCTTAAAAAGGACATGATGTAGGAGTCTTACCTGAAGCGGATCTCTGAGTTCATAAAGGCGTTGAGGTCATAAACCTCCTGCATCTTCTTCACGTGAGTCAGAGGGAGAGGATCCTGAAAGAACGGACAGAAGTAGATGCTGCTTAAGTGAGGAGGACTGTGGTGAGCTGAGGAGGACTGTGGTGAGCTGAGGTGTGGGTGAAGTGGTTTACCTCCTGAAGCAGGAGGGACAGGAACTCGATGAGCTGGTGGGACGACAGCGTCTTCACATCGGACTCTTTAAAGCTGCTCAGGTCCTGGTCTTTGGCCTGAAGGTGGGCAGAGGATGGAGGTTTGACTCGGAACATAAGAAACAATGAAACCAAGCCCGGGTGAGGTCCAGGTCTTACCTTGCTCCACCTCTGGCTCAGAGCGATGCAGGCGTCGGCCAGCGTGGTGTCGTACCTGAAACACAATGATGAAACATCAGAACAACCGGGTTTAAAGAAAGACTGGGGGGCCTGACGGGATCCACTCACTGAGGTTTGACGGGAGGCATCCCAGGAGTGAACATCCAGGCGTTCCAGTCCACCTTGTTCAGGATGTCCACCTGAGGAAGATACAGCTCAGCGTTACCTACAAATCTGCTGCAGGATGTTAAGAACCACCAAAACCGGAAACAAAAAAAAACAACCTTTCTTCTGATCATGCGGGTCACTTTCAGGCCGAGGTCAAGTTCACACTTAAACCACATTTAAACCATCCAAGAAATCATCAGCTTCATAATGAATGTGTCCACGAACGCCCCGCACACATGAGCACATCGCAGTCCACGAACGAGCCAGGTGTGTCTCACCTTGTCTTTAAAGTAGGTGAACAGGTAGTTCTTCCACTCGTCCGTCGTGACGCTGCTGTAGGCAAACAGCTGGATGTACGACTTCACAAAACCCATGAACACCTCTGAAGAAGACACAGCAACAGGTGAATCAGTACTTTCACGGTCAGACTATCTGTGATGTGTCCAGGTGTGCGCGGGTCTTACCTGGGCCTCCCATCAGCTCCTCCAGATGGTACAGCAAAGCAAAGCCTTTCTCGTAGGGCACAGAGGAGAAGGCGTCGTCGGGGTCGACGTCCTGCAGGCTGGGGACCAGGTTGGTCAGAGGGTTGTTGGCTCCAAAGGTGTTCACCTGAGTGATGACACCGACAGGGAAGAAACAATCTACTGAGATCAATCGGTTCAAACTGTAAACCCAATCAGAAAACAAACACGTGACCCCAGACAGGGATCAGGTCCTCACCGAGTCCTGCAGCTCCTTCCAGCCCCCCATGGCTTTAAACTGTCGGAACTGTTCACTGTCCATACACCTGCCAATCATCCTCTCCAGGTACACCGTGTGACCTTCGTTCAGCCTGAAGACAACAACAGGAAGCAGTCATCACAACGCTGTCTTCCTGCTCTGATCACATGATCGATCCGTTGATGAAACGAACGGTAACTGAAAAACGAGTCTTTCTGCCAAATATTAAATCACAATAATAAATCAGCGGTTCACCAGAAGTGCTCCCAGGTCTTATTGGTCACCAGATTACCCGTCCAGCTGTGGGAGATCTCATGAGCGATCACCTGACAGGAAGAACAACACCTGAACAGGTGAACACTTATAAACACACACCAACGACTGAACAGGTGAACAGTGACGGGTGTGTACTCACGTTGGACAGAGATTTGTCTCCCGCCTGTAACGACAGAGACTCACAGTCAACAGTAATCAGTTTTTACCGCAAGTCAAACTTTCAGATCTTCTAGATTTAGGCCACAAAGTGAAAAGGTTTGATTCTTGATGATCACAGCTCACGGAAATCAAAAATCCAGAATATCACAATGTTTCGTCCAGAAATGTGGACCTCCTGAAAACAGCTGGGCGGGGCTCCTTCTGCATCAGACCATCGGCCTGCTGAGCTGTTATGAAGCCTGCAGGTCCTTTAACGAGACCTTCAGCCCGTCTCGAGTCCCTCAGAGTGTCTATGGGGTTCAGGTCAGGTGAGCTGGTGGATCTTGATGACTCCAGCCTCAGTCCACTCCTTGTGAAGCTCCACCAAGTTCTTGAACCTGCTTTGCCTGACAGTCCTCTGCAGGCTGCTTGTCACCTTGTCCTGCCACACTTTCACCTTCCAGTCCCCATGAACATTACTGATCCAGGACTTGCAAGAGCCAGCCCTTTCAGCAGGGACCTGCTAAGGCTCCTGGTGGACCGGGTCACTGACTTCTGGACAACTGAACCAGACTGATATATTTTGACAAATGAATTTTTGATTTCCATGAGCTGTAAGAAGTAATCATCAAGATTAAAAAAGATTTCACTTGATGTGGAATTAATCTTAAACATCAGAACGGTTCTCTTTTTAAATTAAATTACAGAAAAACAAACTTTCACAAAATTCTAATTTTGTGTCTGTCTGTCTCTGTCTGCATGTCTGTCTGTCTGTCTCTGTCTGCATGTCTGTCTGTCTGTCTGTCTCTGTCTGCATGTCTGTCTGCATGTCTGTCTCTGTCTGCATGTCTGTCTGTCTGTCTGTCTCTGTCTGCATGTCTGTCTGTCTGTCTCTGTCTGTCTGTCTCTGTCTGCATGTCTGTCTGTCTGTCTGTCTGGCTGTCTCTGTCTGTCTCTGTCTGCATGTCTGCATGTCTGTCTGTGTCTGTCTGTCTCTGTCTGCATGTCTGCATGTCTGTCTGTCTCTGTCTGCATGTCTGCATGTCTGTCTGTGTCTGTCTGTCTCTGTCTGTCTGTCTCTGTCTGCATGTCTGTCTGTCTCTGTCTGTCTCTGTTTGCATGTCTGTCTGTCTCTGTCTGCATGTCTGTCTGCATGTCTGTCTGTCTCTGTCTGTCTCTGTTTGCATGTCTGTCTGTCTCTGTCTGCATGTCTGTCTGTGTCTGTCTGCATGTCTGTCTGCATGTCTGTCTGCATGTCTGTCTGCATGTCTGTCTGTCTGCGTACCAGCAGGGTGGGGGTGGCGAAGGTCAGGCAGGGATTCTCCATTCCTCCGTAGGGGAAAGATGGAGGAAGGACCAGGATGTCGTACTGACCCCAGACATACGGTCCTGCCAGGTCCTCCGCCGTCTTCAACATGGTCTCCGTCTGATTCAAGGTCAGATAATATTCAGATTCCTGGGTTCTACGGTGAACTCATTTGGACTAAAGCAGACGGCTGTTCAATCAGACACAACTGTTGGAAAGATGCTGTCAAATAAGAATGCTTCTACCAACAGGCGAGTTAACAGATTCAATTTACCAATGAACTAAATGAAAAGTGAGCGAACAGAAGAAAGTCTGGTGTCAGCCCCGCCCACTTCAAACAGCACCAGTTCTCGTAGGTACACCTGCACACAGTCAGGGATTCTGCAGGCACATCGTCGGGTGTTTGATTAAACTATTAAACCAATCGGGTGCCGAGGATCCTAAAGTCAGTCTGTAGGTTCAAACAAACAGCTGTAGGAGGAAGGTGCTGAAGGTCAGAGTCAGACACCATGACAAACGGTGGTTATGCTGCATCAGCAGGGTCTCTCCAGGAGACGTTTCAAGACAGACCGGAGACGCAGAAACTTCCTGCAGCAGATGAAAGACACATCAAGCTGACTGCTCTTCAGTCTGAAGATGTCCAGCAGAGACATCAGAGCGGCAGGACACAGTGGGAGCCCGGCCCACCGCCAGGACACAGTGGGAGCCCGGCCCACCGCCAGGACACAGTGGGAGCCCGGCCCACCGCCAGGACACAGACATTTTATTCTGTTCACTCACTTTGCATTTTGTTTCTGATCCACACGATCGATTAACACGTTTGACTTCCCACACCGACCTGAACTGTGACTCACCTCAGAGAACTCAAATGCTGCTTTATCCACAAACTCCTTTTCAGACCAGACTCTCGACCTCGGCCCGATCTCCCTGTCGACCAATCAGAGCACAGAAACACTGTTTACCTGCGGCAGGTGACATGATGACATCAGTGAACAGGTGAGACGGAGTACCTGCTCTCCAGAGCTCCAACCACGATGGCTATCAGGTAAGAAGGCATGGGCACCTGAGAACAGAGTTCAGAGGTCAAAGTGTTGTTCACTGATCCATCTGATCACATGACACACTACATGTTGCTCGTCAGTCGTTTAGTTTTAAGCTGTTCGGCTTCATCAGGAGTTTATTAGCGGTTATATGGAGTCAGGTCAAAGGTCAAACCTCAGGAACTTATTGATCATCATCATGCGTCAGTGTTTTAGTCACATGTAATCATTAAGGTCACAGTGAAAAATTATCCCGCCACTTCCTTCAGGTTACGTTTCAGAAACAGAAAGATGATTGGGGAGTCGTGAGGAAAGGCCGTCACCCTGAGACGTCACAGCCGGACTTAAACTTCACGTCTGTGATCCCGCCGACGGATTCCAGACATCACGTAAATAAAGAGTAGAACAAGAGCGAACTGACCGGCTGTCTGAACCTGTAGACGATGCGGTTGTTGTCCTGAGGATGGACTTCCTGTCCGTCTCTCACTGCACTCATCACAGCCACCAGGTCCTTAGGTACAGAAACCTGAGAGACAATACACAGGGCACACCTCAGGAGTGACATCAACAACAGGTAGGTAGGTAGGTAGGTAGGTAGGTAGTAGTGTGTGGTGTGTGTGTGTGTGTGTGTGTGTGTGTGTGTGTGTGTGTGTGTGTGTGTTACCTGAGCGTAGTAGGTGTGTTTGACAGACGGACTGTCCTGACAGGGAACCATACTCCTGCAGTGATTAGCCTGTAAGACAAGACCCAGGGAGAAAACAGTTCGTTCAGTATTTCACCTTTATGTCTGTGTCTCTGTCTTTCAGTCTCTCTGTCCGTCTCTGTGTTTGTCTCTGTGTGTGTCTGTGTCTCTGTGTCTGTCTGTCTGTGTCTCTGTCTGTCTGTGTGTCTGTCTGTCTGTCTGTGTGTGTCTCTGTGTGTCTGTCTGTGTGTCTGTCTGTCTGTGTCTCTGTGTGTCTGTCTGTCTGTGTCTGTCTGTGTGTCTGTCTGTGTCTCTGTCTGTGTGTCTGTCTGTCTGTCTGTGTGTGTCTGTGTGTGTCTCTGTGTGTCTGTCTGTCTGTGTCTGTGTGTGTCTCTGTGTGTCTGTCTGTGTGTGTCTGTGTGTGTCTGTCTGTGTCTGTGTGTGTCTCTGTGTCTGTGTGTCTCTGTGTGTCTCTCTGTGTTTGTCTCTGTGTGTGTCTCTGTCTGTCTGTGTCTGTCTGTCTCTCTATGTCTGTCTCTCTGTCACTCTATGTCTGTCTCTCTGTGTCTCTGTGTCTGTCTGTCTGTGTCTCTGTGTCTCTGTGTCTCTCTGTGTCTGTCTGTCTGTGTGTCTCTGTCTGTCATGTGATCTGTCCATTGTGTTTCTGACACACACATTAAGAACATCTGGGCCCCTATTCATAAAAAAAGCTAAGAGGAGCTCCTAGTGACCAAATCCTAAGAAATTCTTAGAAATGTGGGCGTTTACTCTTAAAATTAAAGAAAAAATCCTAGTAAAGAAAAAAAGTAATTCAGAAAGCATCTTAACCCTTGAAAGAGTCAAAGTAGTTCGGAGCAGGGACGAGGACTTTTAAGAGAGGAGAAAATGGCAGAAAGAGGAAGAAGAAACGTGTTGCAGACAGTGAGTTAATCAGACGCTGTAGGTCAGATGGTGCAGGGATCGTGTTTGTGACGGATCTTATTGGAGACGCGCAGGAATGAGAGGAATCACTACATTACTGGGGAAGTGCAGCAGTGATGATTTGGGTCTGTCACCACCTTCTGTAAGCGGAGTGATCACACAAACGATCACAGCACTTTCAGCCTCTCGTTGTGTCGCAGTTCATTTCGTTTGCACTGGACATTCCCACCTCGCAGGCTTCCCTGGTGCGCACAAGCAGGGGGAATGAACCGTTAATAGTTTGTGCCGTACGCTCCCACGTCTGCTTCTCGCCCCGCGCTGTGAATAAAAAACAGGATCTATGTACACATATATAACGTGTGTGAGAGAGAACGGTAAACAGGAAATATTACGCATGGCATTTCCGAAGTGAAGGCTTAGAAAAGAACCTTTACTTAAAATCACTCTTTTTTACCTTCTTGGACAACCAACCAATCACTGTCTTCAAAAGATTGTGTCATCCATAGCAACGGGGTCAACCCCGCCTCCTCACTAAGATGAAAGTTTTTGTCTTTTTTGCTCAGAGTTGCTCTCAGATCAGTCCCTGATCGCTCTTAAACTAAGACTTCTCTGTAAAAGTTTTTAAGCTAAATTAAGAGTTCTCTGAGAGGATTCTTAGAATCTTTATGAATCCGGGCCCCGGTGATGAATCCGGGCCCCGGTGATGAATCCGGGCCCCGGTCTCTTTATTTCCCTTTTAGTGTAAAAACATCAGGATCAAATCGTTTTCTCTTCACACGTCTTTAAAAACATGAAGTCGACTGAAGACGTCTGGGGAGAAAAAGAGGAAACACTGAACGATTCGTTGGCGGTGAAGAAACTTTAAGTTGTGTTGAAACTCGGTGACAACATTTAGTTTCCGCTTCAGTTTAACGGTTCCACCTGAACACGTTCCTCTTTATCCAACAATCTTTTTCTCATTTTATCTTTCAGGGTTTGGATTTTATTTAATCATTTCTCTGTTTTACTTTCTAGAAATTATTCATTATTAAAATCCAAGCTGGAGAATACAGAACGATGTCTGTCTCTGTCTCTCTGTGCGTCCGTCTCTCTGTCTCTGCGTCTCTCTCCGTCTCTGCGCGTCCGTCTCTCTCCGTCTGTCTCTCTCTGCGTGTCTCTCTCTCTCTGCATGTCTCTCTCTCTCTGCGTGTCTCTCTGTCTCTCTCTCTGCGTGTCTGTCTCTCTCTGTCTCTCTCTCTGCGTGTCTGTCTCTCTGCCTCTGCGTGTCTGTCTCTCTCCGTCTCTCTGTGTCTGTCTCTGTCTCTCTGCGTGTCTGCCTCTGCGTGTCTGTCTCTCTGTATCTGCGTGTCTCTCTGTCTGTCTCTCTGCGCGTCCGTCTCTCTGTGTCTGTCTCTGTCTCTCTGCGTGTCTGCCTCTGCGTGTCTCTCTCCGTCTCTCTCTCTGCGTGTCTCTCTCCGTCTCTCTGCCTCGGCGTGTCTCTCTCTCTGCCTCTGCGTGTCTGTCTCTGTCTCTCTGTCTCTCCGTCTGTCTGTCTCTGCGTGTCTCTCTCCGTCTGTCTGTCTCTGCGTGTCTCTCTCTCTGCGTGTCTCTCTCCGTCTCTCTGCGTGTCTCTCTCTCTGCCTCGGCGTGTCTGTCTCTGTCTCTCCGTCTGTCTGTATCTGCGTGTCTCTCTGTCCGTCTCTCTGCGCGTCCGTCTGTCTCTGCGTGTCTCTCTCCGTCTCTGCCTCGGCGTGTCTCTCTCTCTGCCTCGGCGTGTCTCTCTCTCTGCCTCGGCGTGTCTCTCCGTCTGTCTGTCTCTGCGTGTCTCTCTCCGTCTCTCTGCCTCTGCGTGTCTCTCTCCGTCTGTCTCTCTCTGCGTGTCTCTCTCCGTCTCTCTGCCTCTGCGTGTCTCTCTCTCTGCCTCGGCGTGTCTCTCTCTCTGCCTCTCCGTCTGTCTGTCTCTGCGTGTCTCTCTCCGTCTCTCTGCCTCTGCGTGTCTCTCTCCGTCTGTCTCTCTCTGCGTGTCTCTCTCCGTCTCTCTGCCTCGGCGTGTCTCTCTCTCTGCCTCTCCGTCTGTCTGTCTCTGCGTGTCTCTCTCCGTCTCTCTGCCTCGGCGTGTCTGTCTCTCTGCCTCGGCGTGTCTCTCTGTCTCTGTCTGCACTCACCTGACACTGGCTGAACAGGTACGGTTGTTTCTTCCCAGCAGTCTGTTCGGGTGAGAGCCACTGCAGAGCCGAGGCAGACGGAGACGTCTCATAGGTCACCTCCACGATCACGTGCTGACCTCTGATTGGTCCAGAACACAGACACGTTGGTTACATTTTATTCTGAAAATACATTACATGAGGACAGAGAAGAAGAGGTCACCTGGAGAGGTCAAAGGGCAGCGTGATGTCCAGAGGCGTCCCCTTGAAGCTGTGTTTGGGGCCCATAGTAAAGCACGCCGTTTGTCCATTCGCTCTCACCGAGACGATCTTCAGGTCTCTGGTGTCCAAAGTCTGCAGCAGATAAAACAACACTTTACTGATTACTGATGAACCTGCTGAGTCAGGGCTGATTATGGCTCACCTGTCCTAAACTAAAGTCCATGTCCATTCAGCTCAGAGACATCTAAACTGTGTCACACCAAAGTCCATTTAAAAACATTGTAAAACTATTTTTATACTTTTTCTCAGATACGTCATTCAGATCGACATCAAGCTTTATTTTAACAGGAAAGTCCCACTGAGACCCGGTTCTTTTACAAGGGAGACCTGAATCCAAAGAAAGAAATTAGAAAAGGCCATGTGTCCGTTACAGTGTCTGATGTTCTGTTGCCGTTCATTCCAGGACGACAGTGAGACAGACTCCTCTACGGGTCCATACAGATCCTAAACCTAACGAGGAGCGAAGAACTCGGCTTCAAACTTTTAGAAGCGGAGGAACACTTTGTGACGCCAGCCTCAAACTGGATTATTAACTTCACTGGTGTAAACTGGATTATGCCGAATGACAGTACCATCTGTAGGATTTTACAGTTTTGAACCACGACATTACATTTCATGTGTTTTGTTCTGGAGGCTTTAGTAAAAGTTGTTTGTTAAAGTGAAAGTCAGCTCTCCTGAGAATCTCCAGTTTACACCCTGTTCAGACAGAAGTACATGTCGCACATGACGAACTGAATGATAAAGGATTTGAAAATGATAAAAAAAAAACTTTGATTTATAAACAACCACACGTTCGTTGCCGTTTCACCCGCTGCGGACTGTTTAACAGAGTTAACACACATTCAGACCACCGAGTTAGAACTCAGACCAGACTTCATGTAATTATCGCAGGTTTTAAGCGCAGTTCAGTTTTAGCTAATGAGCACTTCACGGACCGTGAAACGGTGGGAATAATTAAACTCGGGCTGAATGAGCCGTTAGCTTTGAGGCTAACATGCAGCTGTACCGGGGCAGAGCACCGGGCTCCGTTAACGTTACCAGAGCAGAGAAACGGTCCTCCAGAGCCTCCACGGTCAGCTCCACCTTGGCCCTGATCACGTGTCTGTCGAAGTCCACGTGCAGGGACAGGTTCAGGTGTTTGGTAGCACACCTGGTGAAGGAGGAGAAGGAGCATGGGTCTGAAGACATCCTGATCTGTCCGGTAACAACGGAGACTGAACCGACGGGCTGACAGACCCCCGCTTATCTACCGGAACATGCGCTACACACATCCGAGTCCGCGCTTTTCAAAATAAGAGTCAGACCGTGTGACGTTTCTCAGGGGCTTGTAGGCATTTTCCAAGCGTGTGCTCCTGCGCATGCTCGAACTAATGAGTCCTCAGGTAAACTCCCACTGCAGCTTTACTGTATCAGCTGGAGTCTCTGAGCGGTCACATGATAACGTGTTTGTTTCAGAGGCTGAGCAGGGAGAGCTACATGCTAACAGTTAGCGAGCTGGACTGACTATTATAATGAGGTGTTGTCACACTTTATTCTTCCTCTGTGGTGTCTGAATCATTATGTTGCAGTATTGCATATAATGAGGGTCACGTTACTACCCCACCAGAGCACTGCGCTCCCAGAATGCACCTGTGGTTCCTAGAGTCTCCAAAAGTAGACTAGGAGCCAGAGCGTTCAGCTATCAAGCTCCTCTCCTGTGGAACCAGGTTCCAGTTTGGGTTCAGGAGGCAGACACCATCTCCACATTTAAGACTTTCCTCTTTGATAAAGCTTATAGTTAGGGCTGGCTCAGGTGAGTCCTGAACCATCCCTTAGTTATGCTGCTATAGGCCTAGACTGCCGGGGGATTTCCCATGATGCACTGAGCTCCTCTCTCCTCTACTTTCTCTCCCTCTGTATGCAACCTCATCCCATTATTGCATGTTACTAACACAACTTCTCCCCCTTTCTGGTAGTCTTGTGCTTTCTCGTCCCTCTCCTCTCTCCTCCTATCACTTCCTGCAGGTGTTTCTGGCTCTGGAGCTGTGGAGTCTGGATCTGTGGTTGCGGGTCACCTGCTGCCCCCGTGTTCCTGCTCGACACCCTCTGCTGCAACGACTATTGTTACTAGTCAATTGTGCCCATTGATAAATTCATGGTCTTGAAACTCTTTCGTGGTGTAAAAGAAAGGAAGAGTCCAGGTCCCGATGGGATCGGGGTCGTGTTCTGAAGAACTGTGCTGTCCAGCTGGCAGACATCTTCTGCTTCATCTTCCAGTTGTCTTTACAGCTGCATAAGGTCCCTTGTCTTTGGAAGGACTCAGTAATTGTTCCTGAGACCCTCAGTGACTTCAGAGCAGTGACACTCACATCTCTTGTCATGAAAGCTTTTGAAAGGCTAGTGAAGGATGCGCTTTTGGACACTGTACAGGATAAGTTAGACCCTCTCCAGTTTGCCTACAGGTCGGGCAGAGGCGTGGATGACGCAACAGGGTCGCTTTTAAACATGGTTTTTAAACATCTTGAGGGGGCCAAGTCCCTTGTCCATCTACTATTTATTGACTTCTCCTCCGCTTTTAACTGCATCCAGCCCCATGTTTTAGCAGACAGGTTGAAGAACACTCATAACATTGATACTGGACTGATCTGCTGGCTGATGGATTTTTTAACAGTGAGGTCACAACGGATGAGAGTGAACAGTGTTTTATCAGATGCCCTTTTCTCTTCTACTGGGTGCTCCCCCCTCTTTTATTTGTTTTATACACAAATAAATGCCAAAGCCATCATGAACAGCGCCACATTATTAAATTTGCGGATGAGTCGGTCATTGTGTCCCTCCTCAGCAGTGATGACCCCGAACACGGTCCTGTAGTGAAGGATTTTATTGATTGGTGTAAATCCTTTTTTAAATATTAATGTGGCAAAAACGAAAGAGATGTGCATCGACTTCAGTAGAAACCCCACTGTCATTTCCCCTGTTGTAATGGACAACCAGCCAGTTGAACTAGTGCAGCAGTACAAATATCTTGGGACTGTGATCGACAGTAGACTTTGAGTACCAGGTTGATGCTGTGTGTAAAAAAGCACATCAACGCATGCACTTTCTTCGTAAGCTTCGCAGTTTTAACATCGACACTGTTTTTATGAAAATGTTTTATTGAATCAGTTCTCACTTTCTCTTTTATCTGCTGGCACGGGTCACTTTCCATTAAACAGAAACCTGACCTGCTCTTTATGAAAAGCGCTGTGAGATAACTGTTGTTGTGATTTGGCGCTATATAAATAAAATTTAACTGAGTTAGTTACAGAGGTTGTGGAAAACCACAATACATATAAATTGAATGTTATGAAGCAAAGAGCAGTGGGTCAGTGCTAACCATGGTGCTAACGTTAGCTCCTTCCTGCTTCACTACAGGAGAAAAACAAGTCTCTTTGTACCCAAAGCAGAGATAAAGAAGTGATTCATTATAAAACTATAAACCTTTAAACGGAGCAGGAACCTGCAGTCTGAAAGAGTGAAGCCTTAAACCTGCGTTCTCTCTAACAGCCAGCAGGGGGCGACTCTTCCAGCCGTACACAAGTCTGACAGAGTCTCCTGCCAGCTGTTTTATTCCCTCTGAACTCTTCCCTAACGTAACGAGTTCATGGTCTCGGTCTTCTTCAGCACGCCGACATGTTCGTTCAGTGCAGTGGTTCTCAACCTTTTTTGGGCCAGCGCCCCCCTATCCATTATCCAGGTCCCTAACCGCCCCCCAACAAAAAGATCTTGGCTATTTGCCCTGAATTTTGTTGATTATTATTGTTATTAAAAACATGACAAAATGATAATATGCTTGCGGCCAGCAGTGTGTAAAATAAGAACACTAATATTTGACCATAAAGGGCGGAGCAGTTAGTCTGATGGCGTTTAGAGGCTGTTGAAACTTCAGGGGCGACCACGTAACAGGCAATTTCTCTCTCCTTATTTATTTATTCATCTCCGCCGGTAACCTTAGTTAGTTAGCGCGGCTACCAGAGACCCTGTGAAGCTCAGATTAGGCTGTAACGAACCCCGCAAAGATCTGCAGCTGCTCCCGAACAGAGCAAGGCGGCAGCTTTTAACGTTACTTCTTTTTAAATCGACACTCTACATGTCACGTCACCACTTGGGCACAAACTTCATTACTGTCATTACATCAGCTGCTGGACGCTGCGAAATATAATCCGTGAAAGTGTAAACACGGCGACAGAAGGGCAGAAGTTAACGCTTTTAAGAGAAAGACATTTTTCCACAGTAATAATAAAGACAGCTTTCCAGAGTTCACACAGTAAACGCCATCTGGCTGAAATTTTACAGATGATCGCTACTCTGACTTCCCGTTCCCCTGAAGGCAGCACGGAGCTGCACCACAAGAGGCTGACGGAAACCCTGCAGAGCGCTTAGGATTCACGCCGTCCAGTCGCAGTGGAGGAAACTTGCATGTTTTAGCATGTTTTAATGTTGCACACACAGTTTTTTGCAAGTAGTTGAAAGTTTCCACTCGTATTTTTGTGGATCTTAACTCGCCTTACAACTTTCAGCTCAACAAACGCAGCTCCGCGCCCCCCTTTCTCAAAATGTAGCTTCCAGCGCCCCCCGTCATCTCGTGGACGCCCCCGTTGAGAAACACTTGTTTAGCACATTTCTGTGAAACTGACTTCACCTCAGGAGGTTCTGAAGCTCAGGTCAACAAACAGGAAACAGCTGAGAAGAAAAAACCTTTATTGCATCATCGTCTCTGCTTCTTCACATTGATAAGGAATGACGAGGCCTTCAGGATCGGCTCTGTGGAATCGCCAGCTAACTGGCCCCTGTCATAAACCCCGCCCCCTGCTCACAGGTACACGGTCACCTGTATTAAGCCCCGCCCCTCATCTTCGTTGACATCCCGTCACATGATTCTGAGTTAAAACATGCGGATTAAAAGAAAAAACAGATCTAACAAACAGCTGCAGAAGAACAGAAGAAGAGGATGATGGGAAATCAAAGTGAGCTCAGAGTCCATGACATCACTTCCTCCTACAGACAGACACATTTATAATTTAAAAAAAACAAAAACAGTCCTGTGAAACTCTCCTCCTCCTCCTCTTCCTCCTCATCAGTTTGTACACGGTGACATCAGTCGGTGACATCAGTCTGCTGCTTCCTGTTTCCTGTCAGGTGGTCTAACGTTTTGACAGCTCATTGGAGAGCCAGTCCAGACCCTCGTACAGACCAGTACCCTGCGTGGCACAGGTGGCCTGGACGTGCCACTGAGGAGACAGAAACACACAGGTAACAGTGATTAGACACCTGCACAGGTTGATATCAGGCTAAAAGGATCCAGTATCGTCTAGACCAGGACCAGGGGTCGGCAAATAAGTCTGGCATCGGGCCAAATGTTTTACAAGCCGTTATATGGCGAGCCAGAACAAAGTCAAATGATTCCAAATCACGTGCAGCTGAGTCGGTGCTGTGCAGCACTCCCGTTAGGGAGGACGCAGGATCGATTCCACCTTCCTGCAGACTTTTTAATAACTTTTTAATAAAAGGACACTTTTGCACATGCTCACAATAAAAAAAAAAGCATGTGCTGCAGTGATGTGTGCGCGTTCCTACTTCAGGGGATCACACGTTTACTGACGGCTCTTTCAGAGCTGTGTCAAGCATGCCGGAGACTCCTTCAAAGTAAAAGCTCTTAATAAATGAAGCATTGCTGCAAAACACGTTCTCACACTTTTATTTTAGAGGCACAATCACTTAAGAGGAAGTGAATGTGTGAGTAACTGTATCTGTTATTTTTCTGCTATCAAAGCCACCTGGCCGCCTATTGCCGACCACCGGTCTAGAGGGTCTGAACGTTTTACGTTTATTTGGATACAAGTGCGCTCTTATTTTGAAGCGTGCACAGTCTATACGGACGTATTGTTCCCTGCCCCGCTGCCACATAAGTTTCGCTCAGTTCCAGGATACCTAATGGGATCATGATTATATTATTGGATCCCATAGACTCAACATTTGAGCCAAAATAGCCTGATACTGCTGTTTGACAAAACTTCTGACTGCAGCAAATGGGTTTAAAAAGCTCTGCCTGAGGCTTTTAGTAACTAATGGAGTCAGAAACTACCGTATCTCTGAACTCTCACACATGCGGGCTTTTCTTCTCTGGGATCTCCTTTTCATAACTAATGCAGTAATGTGATGTTGTTTCACGTCCATTCACTGAGCCTCCTCTGAACCTGTTTGGGGCCCCCTGGGGAGGCCCGCCTCACACTTTGAGAACCCCTGCTCCATACGGATGTATTGATAACTGATCCGTCTTCATTCTTACAGTTCTGCTGCGCAGGCTGTGCAGACCCAGTTTGTCGGTGAGTTCGCTGACTCCCATGGCGTTGGGAAGATCCTGTTTGTTAGCAAACACAAGAAGAACTGCCTCCTTCAGCTCGTCCTCCTGGATCTACAGAGAGAGTCATGTGACTAGTGACATCATCAACAGGTGTTGTGTGACTGTGTTTCTCACAGCAGCAGTAAGTATAGGCTACTCACCATCTTAGAGAGCTCCTCGGCCGACTCCGCTACTCGCTCTCTGTCATTACTGTCCACCACGAAGATCAGACCCTGCACAGGAAGTCAGAGGTCACACATGACATCACATCCTCAGAAATCTCATCAATATAAAGTGATAGTTTATATTTTCTATAATCATGTTTTATAGAGACTCCTGAAGGGTCAGCGGCCTCATCTGGGACGGTGATGAGTCGGCCTGCAGACGAGAGGCTGATCAGCTGGCTCTCTGGTGCGGCCAGGACAACCTGGAGCTCGAAGCCCTGGATATACTCACTTTTTAACAATGCGTAGACAGGCGTCGGCCACACAAACGGCTTTGTTCACATACTTGCCTGCCTACTTTGCGTGTACCTGGAGGATTAAACCTGAATCCACAAGGGGACAGACCAGGACCGGGTCATCCTTCGCCAACACCGGATTATCTTCCTTGACAACCTCCACATTCGCACATTGTAAACAAACCAAACATAGTTTCACTCAAGTAGCTTGTGATTTTAACGAGACATCGTACTGCTCCCATGTTCATGTGCTGAACTGCATCTCGTGGACACGTAGCGTTAATTCCTGGGGACTTGCACAAGCTACGCTCCAAAGGAACGCAGGAAATGCGTGACAGCCATCTTACGTACGCGAACATGTAGTTAAAAGCAAGTATATCCAGGGCTTAACGAAGCTCACCTTACCATGTATCCTGGTTCTGCCTCTGTGCCTCTGTGTCATGTGGTCTGTGCCTCTGTTCTGCACCTCTGTGTCCTGGTTCTGCCTCTGTACCTCTGTTCTGCACCTCTGTGTCCTGTGTTCTGCCTCTGTGTCCTGTGTTATGTACCTCTGTGTCCTGTGTTCTGCCTCTGTACCTCTGTTCTGCACCTCTGTGTCCTGGTTCTGCCTCTGTGTCCTGTGTTCTGTGTTATGTACCTCTGTGTCCTGGTTCTGCCTCTGTGTCCTGTGTTCTGCCTCTGTACCTCTGTTCTGCACCTCTGTGTCCTGGTTCTGCCTCTGTACCTGTGTTCTGTGTTCTATACCTCTGTGTCCTGTGTTCTGTACCTGTGTGTCCTGGTTCTGCCTCTGTACCTGTGTTCTGTACCTGTGTCCTGGTTCTGCCTCTGTACTTCTGTACTTGTGTTCAGTACCCCTGTGTTCTGGTCTTGGCTCAGTACCTGTGTTCTATACCTCTGTGTCCTGTGTTCTGTACCTCTGTGTCCTGGTTCTGCCTCTGTACCTGTGTTCTGTACCTGTGTCCTGGTTCTGCCTCTGTACCTCTGTTCTGCACCTCTGTGTCCTGGTTCTGCCTCTGTACCTGTGTTCTGTGTTCTGTGCCTCTGTGTCCTGTGCTCTGTACCTGTGTTCTATACCTCTGTGTCCTGTGTTCTGTACCTGTGTGTCCTGGTTCTGCCTCTGTACCTGTGTTCTGTACCTGTGTCCTGGTTCTGCCTCTGTACTTGTGTTCAGTACCCCTGTGTTCTGGTCTTGGCTCAGTACCTGTGTTCTATACCTCTGTGTCCTGTGTTCTGTACCTCTGTGTCCTGGTTCTGCCTCTGTACCTGTGTTCTGTACCTGTGTCCTGGTTCTGCCTCTGTACTTCTGTACTTGTGTTCAGTACCCCTGTGTTCTGGTCTTGGCTCAGTACCTGTGTTCTATACCTCTGTGTCCTGTGTCCTGGTTCTGCCTCTGTACCTGTGTTATGTACCTCTGTGTCCTGGTTCTGCCTCTGTACCTGTGTTCTATACCTCTGTGTCCTGGTTCTGCCTCTGTACCTGTGTTATGTACCTCTGTGTCCTGGTTCTGCCTCTGTACCTGTGTTATGTACCTCTGTGTCCTGGTTCTGCCTCTGTACCTGTGTTATGTACCTCTGTGTCCTGGTTCTGCCTCTGTACCTGTGTTATGTACCTCTGTGTCCTGGTTCTGCCTTTGTACCTATGTTCTGCACCTCTGTGTCCTGGTTCTGCCTCTGTGTCCTGTGTTCTGTGTTATGTACCTCTGTGTCCTGGTTCTGCCTCTGTGTCCTGTGTTATGTACCTCTGTGTCCTGGTTCTGCCTCTGTACCTGTGTTCTGCACCTCTGTGTCCTGGTTCTGCCTCTGTACCTGTGTTCTATACCTCTGTGTCCTGGTTCTGCCTCTGTACCTGTGTTATGTACCTCTGTGTCCTGGTTCTGCCTCTGTACTTGTGTTCTATACCTCTGTGTCCTGGTTCTGCCTCTGTACCTGTGTTCTGCACCTCTGTGTCCTGGTTCTGCCTCTGTACCTGTGTTCTATACCTCTGTGTCCTGGTTCTGCCTCTGTACCTGTGTTATGTACCTCTGTGTCCTGGTTCTGCCTCTGTACTTGTGTTCTATACCTCTGTGTCCTGGTTCTGCCTCTGTACCTGTGTTATGTACCTCTGTGTCCTGGTTCTGCCTCTGTACCTGTGTTCTATACCTCTGTGTCCTGGTTCTGCCTCTGTACCTGTGTTCTATACCTCTGTGTCCTGGTTCTGCCTCTGTACCTGTGTTCTATACCTCTGTGTCCTGGTTCTGCCTCTGTACCCGTGTTCTGTGCCTCTGTGTCCTGTGCTCTGTACCTGTGTTCTATACCTCTGTGTCCTGGTTCTGCCTCTGTACCTGTGTTCTGCACCTCTGTGTCCTGGTTCTGCCTCTGTACCTGTGTTCTATACCTCTGTGTCCTGGTTCTGCCTCTGTACCTGTGTTCTATACCTCTGTGTCCTGGTTCTGCCTCTGTACCTGTGTTCTATACCTCTGTGTCCTGGTTCTGCCTCTGTACCTGTGTTATGTACCTCTGTGTCCTGGTTCTGCCTCTGTACCTGTGTTCTATACCTCTGTGTCCTGGTTCTGCCTCTGTACCTGTGTTCTATACCTCTGTGTCCTGGTTCTGCCTCTGTACCTGTGTTCTATACCTCTGTGTCCTGGTTCTGCCTCTGTACCTGTGTTCTATACCTCTGTGTCCTGGTTCTGCCTCTGTACCCGTGTTCTGTGCCTCTGTGTCCTGTGCTCTGTACCTGTGTTCTATACCTCTGTGTCCTGTGTTCTGTACCTGTGTGTCCTGGTTCTGCCTCTGTACCTGTGTTCTGTACCTGTGTCCTGGTTCTGCCTCTGTACTTCTGTACTTGTGTTCAGTACCCCTGTGTTCTGGTCTTGGCTCAGTACCTGTGTTCTATACCTCTGTGTCCTGTGTTCTGTACCTCTGTGTCCTGGTTCTGCCTCTGTACCTGTGTTCTGTACCTGTGTCCTGGTTCTGCCTCTGTACCTCTGTTCTGCACCTCTGTGTCCTGGTTCTGCCTCTGTACCTGTGTTCTGTGTTCTGTGCCTCTGTGTCCTGTGCTCTGTACCTGTGTTCTATACCTCTGTGTCCTGTGTTCTGTACCTGTGTGTCCTGGTTCTGCCTCTGTACCTGTGTTCTGTACCTGTGTCCTGGTTCTGCCTCTGTACTTCTGTACTTGTGTTCAGTACCCCTGTGTTCTGGTCTTGGCTCAGTACCTGTGTTCTATACCTCTGTGTCCTGTGTTCTGTACCTCTGTGTCCTGGTTCTGCCTCTGTACCTGTGTTCTGTACCTGTGTCCTGGTTCTGCCTCTGTACCTGTGTCCTGTGCCTCTGTGTCCTGTGCCTCTGTGTCCTGTGCCTCTGTGTCCTGTGTCCTGTGTTCTGCGCCTCTGTGTCCTGTGTTCTGCGCCTCTGTGTCCTGTGTTCTGTACCTGTGTCCTGGTTCTGCCTCTGTACCTGTGTCCTGTGCCTCTGTACCTCTGTTCTGCGCCTCTGTGTCCTGGTTCTGCCTCTGTACCTGTGTTCTGTACCTGTGTCCTGGTTCTGCCTCTGTACTTCTGTACTTGTGTTCAGTACCCCTGTGTTCTGGTCTTGGCTCAGTACCTGTGTGTTCTGGAAGTAGTGTCTCCACAGAGGTCGGATCTTGTCCTGACCACCGACGTCCCAGACAGTGAAACAGATGTTCTTGTACTCGACCGTCTCCACATTAAAACCTGAAACACAAACGTCTGTCAGAACCGGTTCTGACCATTTCCAGCTCGTTGGTTATTATGTGTCTCTATACTGTAGGCTGTGTTTGATTTTATTACTGTATTATTGTATGAGTAAGCACATGATGAGCAATGTACAATCCAGAGTCAAATTCCTCGTATATACCTGGCAACAAAGCTGATTCTGATTCGACAGTGGGGACGCTGGAGACTGTGTGTTATTGATCACTTACCGATAGTCGGGATGGTGGTAACGATCTCTCCGAGCTTCAGTTTGTAGAGGATCGTTGTTTTTCCAGCTGCGTCCAAACCGACTGAAACAAGAACATCAAACTTTAACCTCAGAAAACTGTCTTTGACAGCTGATCACAGTCTTTAAGCGTCTTCACATTTGGACTACTTTTTATTTACACTTTGATTTCAGAGATAAAGTGTTAAAACAGTCGTGAAAGTGAAGCTGATGGTTAAACATCTCCTTCAGACTCCGTTAGCTCTGACCGTTAGCCTCTGGCGGCTAGCCGTGTTAGCTTCTATTAGTATGTTTTGCTAAAGACGGAGTTTCAGTCAACTAACCGGGACTTCATAACTGAGAACAGGACACTTTAACCGTTAGAACATTAACACCAGCCTGCAGAGACCGTTTCTGCCCCGCCGGTTCCTGCCCGGTTAGCCTCAGAGCTAGTTAGCCTAGCCGCGGTGCTCACCCATCAGTATCCTCATCTGCTTCTTCCCGAAGAACTTGGAGAACAGAGACGAGATCGTCAGACCCATTTTTAATTAAAAGGTCCCGGTTCAGCGGCGTGACGATGAAAAACCTGACGGGGGAGAATGTCAGCCGGTCAGTCCGGGAGAAGCTGCTGGTTAGAGCCGCAGAAGAGCCGGGTACCGGGGCGGAGAAGAACCGGAGATGAGCGGTGATGAACCGGAGAGGGCGCAGCTCCTCCTCGGTGCCACGTCCAGGCCAACGCGGAATAAATGACGTCACTGCTTTCAAAAACTTTATTGAAACACAAAGGATAATGCCGCGTTCAAGATCTACGAGAAACACGGGAGAGTTACTCATTTAACATGGTTCTGTTTAGGCTTCAACCCAAATTGTTTTGCAACTTCAGAATCAGGTTTATTGGCCGAGTATGTGTGAACACACAAAGAATGTGTCTCTGCTTTTTCGTTTTGTGAAAACGCCGTTACTCTGACGCTTTGATATAATTTACAAAACAAAGTGTTTCATCGCGTGAGCTCGGTGGTCTTTTTTCCTGACAGCCGTGAACGTAGCATCAGGATCTAGCATCCTCGTCCAATTCCGGCTCAGACCAACATGGCGGCTGATAGCCGAGAGTCAGCAGCTCTTCAGATTAATGTCTGAGTTTCTATGAATATTTACAGTTTCCTGATGAAATAAATCAATTCAGAGACATTTTCCCGCTTCAGTTTGTTAAAACCTGCAGTTGGTCTGTAACTGCTGACAGCTTTGGACCAGGTAAGACCCGGATTAAACTCTGTGTTTGTTAACGTCAGTAAAAGTCGGTCTGAGAGGTCCAGGGTTGGCCAACCGTAGCCAGGTAGCCAGGGTTAGTAAACGTTAGCCAGGGTTAGTTAACTTTAGCCAGGGTTAGTTAACCGTAGCCAGGGTTAGTTAACTTTAGCCAGGGTTAGTTAACTTTAGCCAGGGTTAGTAAACGTTAGCCAGGGTTAGTAAACGTTAGCCAGGGTTAGTTAACTTTAGCCAGGGTTAGTAAACGTTAGCCAGGGTTAGTTAACTTTAGCCAGGGTTAGTTAACTTTAGCCAGGGTTAGTTAACCGTAGCCAGGGTTAGTAAACGTTAGCCAGGGTTAGTAAACGTTAGCCAGGGTTAGTTAACTTTAGCCAGGGTTAGTTAACCGTAGCCAGGGTTAGTTAACCGTAGCCAGGGTTAGTTAACTTTAGCCAGGGTTAGTTAACTTTAGCCAGGGTTAGTTAACCGTAGCCAGGGTTAGTTAACTTTAGCCAGGGTTAGTTAACCGTAGCCAGGGTTAGTTAACTTTATCCAGGGTTAGTTAACTTTAGCCAGGGTTAGTTAACCGTAGCCAGGGTTAGTTAACCGTAGCCAGGGTTAGTTAACCGTAGCCAGGGTTAGTTAACTTTAGCCAGGGTTAGTTAACTTTAGCCAGGGTTAGTTAACCGTAGCCAGGGTTAGTTAACCGTAGCCAGGGTTAGTTAACTTTAGCCAGGGTTAGTAAACTTTAGCCAGGGTTAGTAAACTTTAGCCAGGGTTAGTAAACGTTAGCCAGGGTTAGTTAACTTTAGCCAGGGTTAGTAAACTTTAGCCAGGGTTAGTAAACGTTAGCCAGGGTTAGTTAACTTTAGCCAGGGTTAGTAAACTTTAGCCAGGGTTAGTTAACCGTAGCCAGGGTTAGTTAACCGTAGCCAGGGTTAGTTAACTTTAGCCAGGGTTAGTTAACTTTAGCCAGGGTTAGTTAACCGTAGCCAGGGTTAGTTAACCGTAGCCAGGGTTAGTTAACCGTAGCCAGGGTTAGTTAACTTTAGCCAGGGTTAGTTAACTTTAGCCAGGGTTAGTAAACGTTAGCCAGGGTTAGTTAACGTTAGCCAGGGTTAGTTAACGTTAGCCAGGGTTAGTTAACGTTAGCCAGGGTTAGTTAACGTTAGCCAGGGTTAGTTAACGTTAGCCAGGGTTAGTCAGGGTTAGTTAACGTTAGCCAGGGTTAGTTAGGGTTAGTCAAGGTTAATCAAGGTTAGCCAGGGTTAGTTAACGTTAGCCAGGGTTAGTTAACATTAGCCAGGGTTAGTAAACCTGAGCCAGGGTTAGCCAGGGTTAGTTAACATTAGCCAGGGTTAGTAAACCTGAGCCAGGGTTAGCCAGGGTTAGTTAACTTTAGCCAGGGTTAGGTAACGTTAGCCAGGGTTAGTAAACCTGAGCCAGGGTTAGTTAACGTTTGCCAGGGTTAGCCAGGGTTAGTTAACGTTTGCCAGGGTTAGCCAGGGTTAGTTAACCGTAGCCAGGGTTAGTTAACTGTAGCTAGGGTTGGCCAGGCTTAGCCTGGGCTAATCAGGGTTAGCCGAGGTTAATCAAGGTTAGTCAGGGTTAGTCATCGCTAGGTTGGAAATCGCTGGACAACATGTTTGATTTATTGTCTCTTAAACAACTAAGACAGCACTGAAATGGCTAAATGAGTCTATGTAATAGTAGTGTACGTTATTTATCAAGTAAATCTAAAAAGTAATGGCAGTGATTGAAAGTAACAAACTGTTACTTTCATGGATTATTGAATAACTTGTTAATATATTTTTGCAATTAATCATTTAGTCTATAAATATGAGAAATAGGTTAAAGTCATTGTTACAGTGCAAAGTAACGTCCAACCAGAAGTCCAGAAATGTAATATTTTTATTTAAAATCATATTAAATACAGAAAAAGCGCTAAATTAATCAGTTTAGCAATAATTAACATTAGATTATTACATATTTACATTCACTCATTTAGCTGACAAAGCGACTTAAGGTTGCTATGTTATCAGAGGTCGCACACCTCTGGAGCAACTGGGGTTAAGTGTCTTGCTCAGTGACACATTGGTGGACGTGTGTCACAGTGGGAATCGAACCCCCAGTCTCTCATATCAAAGCCATATGTCTTATAACTGAAGGTAATACAACTTTCCACAGCTGCTGTTAAAATCCTGCTGTTTGTTTCATTCAAGTTTATGAAGAGAAAGTGTCTGTTTTCAGAAACCAACAAACCCAGTATGATGATGGGTCCTAGATGAACCAGTTCCGATCCTGCATAATGATGGATCCAGTCTAATCTGACCCTCGTAGACCGTCAGTCTGGCCTGACCTTGGTAGACCAATTGGAGTAATGGAGAAGTTTGGGATGAGTTTCGGGGGCGGTCCCAGCAGGAAGGATTTGCTGGACACCATTGAGTCCCAGAAGAAGCAGCTAGTCCAATACCAGACCCGCTTCAAAGATGTGGTCCAGGCCTATAAGAGTCTCCTGAAGGAGAAGGAGGCTCTGGAGGCCAGCCTGAAGGTCCTATCGGTGACCCAGGAGGTGGACCTGAATCAGCAGGTCCAGGACACCACTGCCTCAGACCTCCAGGAGGACGGCTGCTCAGTGTATAGCGAGGACAGCGTGGACACGGCAGCATCTGTGGAGACGCCCAGTGACACCGCCAGAGGGGACCAGAGTGAAGAGGACCAGGGAGAACCGGGAGGAAAATCCAGCTCAATGGTGTTTTTTTTCAAACATTTAGTGACCAAAATATCATCAAGTGAATAGTAAAGAGATCCATCTTGACAAAGTTGACAACCTTGACAAAGTTGAATGGTGCATAGCTAATTCGACTAGAGGGCGGCGAGACCATGACCGACTTGGCTAGAGCATGACAGACTTGACGAAAGGATAGCATGACCAAGTCGACTAGAGGGAGACGAGACCATGACAGACTTGACGAAAGGATAGCATGACCAAGTCGACTAGAGGGAGACGAGACCATGACCGACTCGGCTAGAGCATGACAGACTTGACGAAAGGATAGCATGACCAAGTCGACTAGAGGGAGACGAGACCATGACCGACTCGACTAGAGCATGACAGACTTGACGAAAGGATAGCATGACCAAGTCGACTAGAGGGAGACGAGACCATGACCGACTCGACTAGAGCATGACAGACTTGACGAAAGGATAGCATGACCAAGTCGACTAGAGGGAGACGAGACCATGACCGACTCGGCTAGAGCATGACAGACTTGACGAAAGGATAGCATGACCAAGTCGACTAGAGGGAGACGAGACCATGACCGACTCGGCTAGAGCATGACAGACTTGACGAAAGGATAGCATGACCAAGTCGACTAGAGGGAGACGAGACCATGACCGACTCGACTAGAGCATGACAGACTTGACGAAAGGATAGCATGACCAAGTCGACTAGAGGGAGACGAGACCATGACCGACTCGACTAGAGCATGACAGACTTGACGAAAGGATAGCATGACCAAGTCGACTAGAGGGAGACGAGACCATGACCGACTCGACTAGAGCATGACAGACTTGACGAAAGGATAGCATGACCAAGTCGACTAGAGGGAGACGAGACCATGACCGACTCGACTAGAGCATGACAGACTTGACGAAAGGATAGCATGACCAAGTCGACTAGAGGGAGACGAGACCATGACCGACTCGGCTAGAGCATGACAGACTTGACGAAAGGATAGCATGACCAAGTCGACTAGAGGGAGACGAGACCATGACCGACTCGGCTAGAGCATGACAGACTTGACGAAAGGATAGCATGACCAAGTCGACTAGAGGGAGACGAGACCATGACCGACTCGGCTAGAGCATGACAGACTTGACGAAAGGATAGCATGACCAAGTCGACTAGAGGGAGACGAGACCATGACCGACTCGGCTAGAGCATGACAGACTTGACGAAAGGATAGCATGACCAAGTCGACTAGAGGGAGACGAGACCATGACCGACTCGGCTAGAGCATGACAGACTTGACGAAAGGATAGCATGACCAAGTCGACTAGAGGGAGACGAGACCATGACCGACTCGGCTAGAGCATGACAGACTTGACGAAAGGATAGCATGACCAAGTCGACTAGAGGGAGACGAGACCATGACCGACTCGGCTAGAGCATGACAGACTTGACGAAAGGATAGCATGACCAAGTCGACTAGAGGGAGACGAGACCATGACCGACTCGGCTAGAGCATGACAGACTTGACGAAAGGATAGCATGACCAAGTCGACTAGAGGGAGACGAGACCATGACCGACTCGACTAGAGCATGACAGACTTGACGAAAGGATAGCATGACCAAGTCGACTAGAGGGAGACGAGACCATGACCGACTCGACTAGAGCATGACAGACTTGACGAAAGGATAGCATGACCAAGTCGACTAGAGGGAGACGAGACCATGACCGACTCGACTAGAGCATGACAGACTTGACGAAAGGATAGCATGACCAAGTCGACTAGAGGGAGACGAGACCATGACCGACTCGACTAGAGCATGACAGACTTGACGAAAGGATAGCATGACCAAGTCGACTAGAGGGAGACGAGACCATGACCGACTCGACTAGAGCATGACAGACTTGACGAAAGGATAGCATGACCAAGTCGACTAGAGGGAGACGAGACCATGACCGACTCGGCTAGAGCATGACAGACTTGACTAAAGGATAGCATGACCAAGTCGACTAGAGGGAGACGAGACCATGACCGACTCGGCTAGAGCATGACAGACTTGACGAAAGGATAGCATGACCAAGTCGACTAGAGGGAGACGAGATCATGACCGACTCGGCTAGAGCATGACAGACTTGACGAAAGGATAGCATGACCAAGTCGACTAGAGGGAGACGAGTCCATGACAGACTTGACTAAAGGATAGCATGACCAAGTCGACTAGAGGGAGACGAGACCATGACCGACTCGACTAGAGCATGACAGACTTGACTAAAGGATAGCATGACCAAGTCGACTAGAGGGAGACGAGACTATGACCGACTCGACTAGAGCATGACAGACTTGACAAAAGGATAGCATGACCAAGTCGACTAGAGGGAGACGAGACCATGATATAGTCGATTAAACCATGGTTAACTCGACTAGAATATGACTATTGTTATCACACTCTGGCCGGGCGCAGGAGTTACACAGTGGAGTTAGCGATAATAAATGTGCAACATCCGATGGTGGCATGAAGTCGTACTGGTTGATGACGCATGTAGATTGTGGCAGCAGTTTCACGTGATGTTTCCTACCTGCAGTCCCTCAGGTCCGACCCCGATGCTGGCGGCTCAGAGAGCACCACCGTGGGAGTGGAGCCGCAGCAACAGGCAAGCGCAGAGGTGGACCGCCGAGCCGCCCGGCGGAAGAGCCAACTGAGCACGCTCACCAGCGCCCTGGCCACAGTGACGCAGGAGAAGTCTCGGATGGAGGCGAACTTCCAGGCCGACAAGCGCCAGCTGAAGCAGGAGGTGGAGGAGCTGCAGGAGCGCCTGGTCGCCGTGACCACGCAGCATGAGGCGGAGCTGCATGCCCTGCAGCAGCAGTTGGCTGAGAGCCGCGCTCGCATCATCACGCAGCAGCACGAGAGGGAGCAGGAGCAGGGAGACCACGTCCAGCAGCTGCGAGAGCTGCAGCGGATCCTGCAGCAGGAGAGAGACCTGCGACAGGAAGCAGAGCTCCGCCTACAGGACGCCAACGCCACGCTCCTCATGACATCACAAGCCGTGGACCGGGGGGCAGAGTCTGAGGCTCACCTGAGCAAGGTGAGGGAGGAGAGAGATGAGCTGAGGAGGAGGCTGCAAGCCGCCGAGGAGGACCAGAAGAAACCAGATCCCAGAGTGGACGAACTGCAGCGAGAGCTGACAAAGCTGAAAAACCACTTCCAGCAGCAGTTCCACAACGAGACCAGGAAGGTAAAACTAAGACCAGATTTAACTAAAACCAGGTCTGAACTAAGCACAGCAGTTCCACAACGAGACCAGGAAGGTAAAACTGAGACCGGATTTAACTAAAACCAGGTCTGAACTAAGCACAGCAGTTCCACAACGAGACCAGGAAGGTACAACAGAGACCGGATCTAAGTAAAACCAGGTCTAAACTAACCAAAGCAGTTCTGCAACTAAAACCAGGGCTGCACCCGAAAAATCTTTTTTGCTCAGGAAGGTTCTGACTGAGTGAAGTGAACTGGAAGTATTTCAGCGGCAGCCATGATGAGAGCTGTTCGGATTCTCTAGAAGCCGAGGAAAGGAGCCTCAATGCTTCCTTTCATATCTCCTTTAGCATAGGGTACACCGGACCATCCTTTATGAAAGGAAAGGAGAGAATGCCATCCCACAATTCCTTGCGGCGGCAACGTTCTGAAACTCAAACGATAAAATCCATCAACCACATTTAGCAAAATCCTGCAACACAGACGCATTATGATACTTTAATAAGACACAGTTTCCTTCTTTCTTTTGGTTTGTTTGTAATCTGATACTGTTTCAACACCATTTTATGTTTCGGGTTGTTGAAATAAGCCGTTAAGTGTTTTCTACAATAAAAATAAACTCCAACTATGACGGATAAAGGTGGTTGATCACGATGTAAGTTATCATTGGCTGTTAAGCCTTTTCTCTCTTCTGCCATAACTTGCTAATATGCATATATCTTAAACTGGCAGCAGTAACTGAGACCTGTGGAGCGGTTTCTGGTCTTGTAACGTGATCAAAGTGAGGATGATGTTGCAGCGCGTAGCCTCACGTCCCTGCAGCCTTCAGCACATTAACTTTACTTCAGTCACAGATGCTGACACTCTCGCCTTCATAAAGGCAAAGATCCAGCTGGCGATCCAGGAGGCGTTTCCCACACACTGATTTATTTGTGGCGTCCTGCCACATTATCAATGCTGATTTTCCATTGATTTTAAAATGGGTAAAATCGTATTTGATGACAGAGCTCCACGCAGCGCAAATATTCTCTCAGCATCTCTTCTCCCTCTCTCCCTCTCTGCCTCCCAGATCTAACTAAAACCAGGTCTAAACTAGGGCTGGACCCGAATATTAGAATATTCGACCATTGGGCGCACACATTAGATTTTCAATTATGAGATTCAATTATTAAGGGTTTTTTTGCGCGCCTGACCTCCGCTGACAGCAGTGAACGCAACGCTCCAGTTCACATCAAAGGGGAAACTAAAAGAAGCCCTCAGCTGTGTGGGAGCACTTTAACCTGAGTGACGGCAGCAGGGTGGAAGTTATGCCATTTATAAATTTTACAACTGCTTAATTTCATTACAGATCAAAACAGTCAAATTCTTACATTCTAAAATTAATCAGTTTCAAACTGTAGGCTGGAAACAAACAGCAATTAAAGTTAAGAGAGAATTTTGCATAATTTGCAGATTTAGTTCCGCTACGGGAAACACCGCTCATCCCGTCTGCTCTCCGCCTGGACCCCGCCCCGCGAAACTATTCCTGGATTCTGCTCTGGACCTGCTGGATCAGACCCTCTCTGGACCCTCAGCTACGGTTCCCCCTGCTCTGCACAGCAGCCACCAACCCGGTTCGGCTTTGATTATTCGCTCTTAATTTCTATCGAAGCTCAAAAAATGACATTTGAGCAGCTCAAGTCTAAACTAACCAAAGCGGTTCCACAACCTGAAGGTACAACAGAGCCGGGACTGCATTGGTTAGTTTAGACCTGGTTTTAGTTAGATCCGGTCTCTGTTGTATCTAAAACCAGGTCTAGGGGACAGGGGAAACTGTGGCTCAGGTGGGAGAGCGGTCGTCCAATTTTCAGAACAGTTTCGATCCCCATCTCCCCCAGTCAACATGTCAAAGTGACCTTGGTCAAGAAACTGAACCCCAGACTCTCCGTCACTGTGTAAAAGGTTGTGATGAGGTCTAAAGACTAGAAAGGTACAAGTACAGACCTTTTCCCACGTAGTCTTCGGTGTCTCATGACGGTTTGTGTCTTCTACAGGCGTGTGATGCGGAGGAGCGTGCGCGTGAGCGCGCTCAGGCGGCAGAGGTGAGGGTTGCCGGTCTGGAGCAAAGAGTCTCTGAACTGTCGGAGCTGCTGGGATCCTGTGAGAAGATGAGGCAGAGAGACCAGCAGACCGCTCAGAGGCTCAGGGACCGGATCCTGCAGCTCGATACGGAGAACAAAACGCTCGCCATCGCCGCCTCCAGCAGGACGACCTCTGACCTCGGCGTGGACGAGTCTCAGCTGGACGTCAGCTTGCTGAGGGACAAGCTGGAGAAGGTGAAGAAACTGCTGCAGCTAGCGGCTCAGAGGAACCAGGACCAGAATATCCAGATCCAGAACCTCGTGGAGACCGAGGCTGAGCTCAGCGGAGACAAAGGCTCGGCGCTGTTCTACCAGCAGGAGCTGCGGCAGCTCAAGGACGAGTTTGAGCGCTACAAGCTGCGAGCGCAGGTGGTGTTGAAGAACAAGAACACCAAAGATGGCTGCCAGGCCAAGGAGCTGGAGGAGATCCGGGACCAGCTGTCAGAGCTGAAGGAGAAGTACATCAACCTGCGGATCCAGAGCGACGAGGCCGAGGCCCGACACCGCCACGAGCTGGAGGAGCGGCAGCAGCAGGCGGCGGCGCTGCAGCAGACTCACAGACAGGAAGTGGAGAGGTTGGAGGCGCTGCACCGCGACGACCTGCTGCGCCTGGAGGCGGAGCTTCACAAACAGAGAGAGAGAACCATGGCGCTCCTGGACGAGAAAGACCAGGAGCTGGAGAGGCTGCGGACCGCCGCGCTCAGCTGCAGCAGCGACACGGACAAGATGGTCGCCGACGACCACGAGTCTGGCCCCGAGAGCGAGGGTGACATCATCAGCCAGGCCCTGCAGCGAGCGACGCCCAACGAGCCCACACTGCTGCTGTACGCCGAGCAGCTGGCCAGGAAGGAGGTGGAGGCGGCCGGCCTGCGGCGCCAGAAACACCGGCTGGAGGAGGACCTCCACCAGCTGCAGGCGAGGCTGATCGCCAACGGAGAGCGACACGACGAGGAGGTGTACGAGCTGCGAGGACAACTCGACAAGCTGATCAGAGATCAGAGCAGAGAGGGCGCCAACATGGAGTACCTGAAGAACGTCATCTACAAGTTCCTGACACTGCAGGACGCCAGCGGGAGGCAGCAGACGCTCACCGCCATCCTGACCATCCTGCACTTCAGCCCGCAGGAGAAACTCAGCGTCATGAGGCTGCAGGGGGCGACCTGGTGGACCGCCGGCAAGAGATCCTAAAACCCCTGAAGAAGAATCTGTAGTTTCTTAAACCTCTGACAGGATGTTGATATGAAGGGGGCTGTAGTTTCCTGATGATCATGTGACGTTTAAATTCATAGAAAAACTTGATGAAGTTCGGTTTCTGTCAGCTGCTCCTGTATGAACAGCTGTGAGAAACTCAAATCACTCATGTATATTTTTGATTCCCTTGTTGAAATTAAACTTTTTCCTGCTTCACAAACTCAGTTTGGTTCATTTCAGGGATTCCACGTTGTTTTCTAGTCGAGGCAACATTTCATCTTTACTTTCAGATCAAAATGATTTTAACATCTGGGCCTTTCTTCAAGAGTCATAAAAAAGATATTTAATGAGCGTGACTCTGAGGCTCAGCTGAAAAAGTTCCTAATCCGATCACGATGCGTCATTCGGATCGCAGGACTTGTTAACATGCACCAGGAGAGATTCTATGTTGCAAAGGATTCCACAAACAAGACGTGGCGTGATACTCTTAATGTTCCATCACTGAGTTCAGCTGTGTTCTGTAGTCAGCAGAAATAAAATACAGTCATTTATCTTTTGAAGGCAGAACTTTTATTAAATTAGAATATTACAAATGTGTGAAAGCTGAAATGAATGAAAACAAATGGTCTCAGCAACATTACATCCAAACGTTCCCCAAAAAACATCTGACAAGCTGCTGCGACACTGTGGGTCTGTACTGTATACATTCAGTGTATTTACTGTGTACTTAGTGTGTACTCAGGACCGTCTGCAGGTCTCCAGGCAGCGTTCTGATGATGGAGTTTATAAAAGTATCCAGTTTGTTTAAAACTCCGTCCTTCACCTGCAGCTGCTGCCGTCGAGCTTTAATCTGAAAAACAGCAGTCAGAAACACACTTCCTGTCACTAGAATTAAAGGCTTCAGACGCGCCTGCGAGCTTTAATCTGAAAATCAAATGCACTTCCTGTTCCAGTCACTGGCATTAAAGGCTTCAGACGCGCCTGTAAGCTTTTATCTGAAAAACCTGGGTAAAAATGCGTCTCAGTATTTGAAAGCACATCTGATTAATGCGATG